TAGTGTATTAAACGTAATTTTGCTGATCTCTATGACTACGATATATATATGTATTATAATCATATATATATGTATTATAATTTGTGCTGAGAAAAGAACACTTTCCAAAGTTCTGAATGCTTCACTTTTCAAAGTGCTTTGTTCCAGATGCTAACTGTCTTGTATCTTTATTAATTTTAGAAGACTCATTCGGATTTAAGAGACTACATATGGTTACCTAAAAAATATTTAACTGCATGCTACCCGGTTAATGCCGTTCTCATGCTGACTGAAAAATATGTTTTAAGGGTTTTGTGTTAAGTAAAGTATTAATTTAGGACTCGCAACATTTCTTAGTTTATTGGGTTCTGTAAATCATTGTTCTTTGTTTTCTCTAAGAACAGATTTTGACTAAAATTAGAAAACTCACGGCCTTATCAGGAACCTGTATTGAACTTGCAGCACGTAGCCACCGCTCCACGTCATGACTGATGACGTACGGACCGTTGAGGCAAGAAGGGGCTTATCCATTAAATGTACAGACCATAACAGCGAATATCAATTCATTATTCATTTACTACGGTACATTTGATGTTATTTTGAGAAGATTTTATCGAAAAATTGATTTAATTGTTGAATCCATTGAGACAACAAAATGGTCATTTACTCAAGTGTTCAGGCAGTAATGAGTGATCATTTGAAAGAGACTAACACATCTTCAGAAGAAACGCAATTTCAGCAAACGAGACGGGATAACTTCTTTTATTCAGAAATAACTCATCAAGGATATTTACTGAAAATAGAGATACAACGCTATTACTGTGCTTGATGACATGGGAAGTTCAAGGTGTTACGATGACCACTGAAAGAGTACTTTAGAATAAGCGATACCATGAAAACCTTCCACACTTGGCCAACAGAGCCGTCATGATTGACAACGGATCTCTTAAACACGCTCAGTCTATCAGATATCTTTGAACAATGGTTAGAATTTATCAAATCAATTTTTCGCCAAAGTATTACGTGTTTTGTTCGTTGTTTGCTACAACTGCCGAAAACATCACATCCTTCTATTTTAGATAACATGCGTTCTTCCTTATACAACTGCATCCTTATCATATGTAATGTACTGGTCGGAAAGCTGTTGTGGGCTATGATAAGAAGACTGCAGAGTACTTTATTGAAGGATCCTGCTGATTTAAATCATACGTCAAATTAACAGAAAAAAATTTTTAATCCGGGCTATAATCTCTGTAGTCAAAATTTTCTAAGACTTTGCCAATTAACACTAATCACCGCTTGCCTAGAATTCTCGAAAGTCTGTTCCTTACAGTTGTACGGCTTTAAGGAACAGCTTTAAGGAAATTCCAAACAATCGTACTGTATCGCCTTTCGACCTTTCCATTCATATTCAGTTCTCACTTTCAGAGTAGTAAAAAAATCCTAATGATCAGGATAAGATTATTACTAACTAGCTAAGGAGAAAATTATACTCGTAAAAAACCTTTTATATTGGCTCTGTACTGCACACGTAGAAATTAGCTTTGTATGTAAATAAGTTTTGCTGATTATACTATTCTGTAGCATACGCGAATAAACTTGACTGACTGATGGCAGGACTAAAACCGTACTTGTGAAAATAATCCCGATCATCGTTAGTAACTAAATCGTATGGCTCCGTTATGACGGAACAATAATCTGAACCATAACCTTTAGTAGATCCGCAGGTACACTTGAACTGCTCTGATCATAAGGAAGAGTATGAAAGAGATAGTATGACGCTACCGAGAGAGAAGCTCGTGGCTGCGATAGTTCGTAGTTTTTTGGAAAATATTAGTTATTTTGCTCTCTTGCACGTATTTATGTCTATATTTCAGTAAATCACACGTATGCTGCTCTACATTGATGCGCTGTTATTTTAATTTGGCAAAAATATCTTTGAATTGCTGAAGGAATGAAATTGTATTAGATCGTGTTACTAAATACCTAAAATTTGGATATTTTCTGCCTATTTTCAGTGGACAGCTGCTGACCAGCGTTCCAGCGTTTGTGTGAAATTTCACGGTTTCAGCCTGCTGGAAAAGCGTTATTCGAGTCTCTGGCAGTTTGTTCGGGTCGCAAGTCTATAGTCCACCTAACGGTATCATTGATCATCCTACTTTTGAACTAACCATCAGTTATAATTCTTCCGATGTTACCCCGAAGTACGCTGATGATATTGATGTGTTGGCTTCACCACAGTTTAAATCTGGATTGTTTTGTTTTTTCCGTCTCCATTCATGAGGCGGGAAATTAACTGAGCGACAGTAGCGTAACATGTACTGCGAAATAATCTGTAGGCTGTTGTTTCTGTTCTGAATGGGTATCAGCAGATCCTGTGCGAAACGTGTCTTACCCCCTCTACAGTTGTACAACTTTCTTGAAAAGAACCGGTAAAATTCATGGGGCTGATTGTGGGTGAAATTATCGACGTTAAACAACAGATGAATGCGATTGTTCACCAGGTACGGCGATTGGTTTCAGTGTTGCCTAGATTGCTGAGGCTGTGCACTGGTACAGAAAATTTAGAAGTCTTGCAGATCGTGCATTCTACCGTTCTTCCCTTAGACTGCACGTTAGCTCACGTTTGCAGTCTCAAGAGAAAAGCATTGGCTCGCATTCGGAGTCTTTGGAAACTACTTGGGCGGCTCTGAAACTGTGGCTGAGATGAGTTTGAGTTTATTCTAATCAAATGTTCGGCAAAAAGAATAGTTGCTTTGAGCAGATATTTTCTAATCGGCAGAACTCAAGCCGCACATTATCGTTTCCAACAGTGCCTTTCAGTATGACCAAGAACAAGGTCTGTGTACGTTCCTTTTAGGGGCCTGCGGTCAATTGTTCTGTCCGCTGTCCGATATCGATCCCAAAAAGAAGAACTGTTGTTTTGCACCGACTTTTGTCAGCCTGATACGAATTCAGTCTTTCACTGCTTGTTTAGTGCTTGTCCATTTGTTACATTCAGATTTGCGGCAACTTATAATGCGCCTTACGATTAACTGAAGTAAATTTGACTGTCGTGTCGCAGTGGGTGATTAATGACAATTTGTTGCAAGAACGATCAGAGTTCGATTCCCCATCTTGGCATAAATTTTCTTTTGAACATTTAATTCCTCGAGGCATTAGTCCAACTTTTTGATATTCGGTGACCCAGCCGAAGGACTAGTAGTAAGTGGCTGACCTGTGAATGACAAGTACAACCTGGCATTTAGATGTGGTAATGCGAAGATGAAGATTAGGTAAAGATTACTTAAAGGCGTAACCTTTGGCACGTGTCCCAATGGCTTTAGTTCTCCTGATTCACTTGATAGCTGACTAAAGTTCAGGACAACGAAAAACGGCAAAGTCATAACTTTAAATTCATAATCATCCACTGTTTTCGTTCCACTAATAGATGAAGGTCTCTTCAAGATTTTGCAGTGCAATATTGTTCTCTATCATTTTCATCCCTTTCGATTTTTTCAGCTCATCCTGCCATCGATCTCGCTACTACTATGAGCCGTTTACTAATGATAGCCGTGTACTACTATGATTCTAATAAAGTGATGATAATTTATTTAAATTAAAAACGATTATCCTGGTCGTGCAGTTACTATATGCAGATAGCATGTTCTGCGTCAGTGTAAAGGGTCGAGACTTTTCAGCGCCCGCGTTAGTCTCCGCCAAGACTGCGTCCTGTCCTCTCTCCTGTTTGTGTTGTACATGGATAGGATTCAGGAGCAGCCAAACGATTTTGTTTTATTGGCATCTTCTGAAACTGATCCATAGTGCTCCGCGGTAAGGTTCGCAACCGAGTGCGACGTGACCGGCATTCGTGGGACCCATCAAAAATGTAAAGCCTAGTGCTTTATCGTTCTTCTGCCTGTTGCTCTTTACAGATAAGCGAAAAGGAGTGGATCAGGTGGAGAAGTTCAAGTATCTTGGAGTCGTATTTACTAGTGATGGAAAATTTGAGGAAGAGATCAACCGTCGGACTGGAGTAGCCAGTGGCGTTCTGCATGACCTGTGCCGAATCATTGTGACTAAGACAGGCCTGAGTCTAAACACTAAGCTCTCGGTGTTAGAGCCCATCTTCTTCCCTATGTTTACCTACGGTCATGGATCATGGCCTACGACTGAAAAGCTTCGATCCAAGGCACAAGCGGCTTAAATTGGCATTCTTAAACCTATCGCTGGTCTCACGCGTATCCACTTGGTCAGTAATTCAGATATTCCGAATGCAGATGATGATTTTGATGCGTCATTTGAATGCTTCCAGAAAGGAAGGCGAAACAACTACTACTATCTGAAATCAACCGACCGGAAACAAGAGGCCCGGCCAAGAATTACCGGGTACAGGTATATCGAAGGACTATGCTCTAGACTCCGGTTGTCTTCTGCCGAAGCTCAAACATGGCAAAGGAACAGGAAACGTTGGAACTACTGTGTAACGACTCGAAACGAGAAACAGTCGTGGAAATTGATTGATAAAAACAATATAAACCCTCGATTTAAACATCCGGTTTATTACCAGTTACGATTTTAGTTAGAAAGGAAGCGCTATCATCTTCACTGAATAAACCATTGAATTCACAGACCTTTGAAATGGCTTGCCATCCAGTGGATTGGGAATGATAATTGCGGTTTTATCGGCGATATAGCGGCCGAACGTAGCAAAATTTAAAGAACTCGTTTTCAATTTCAACTCTGCAGCAACATACGTGTGGCATTGTTAAGTAGACGAAACGCTCACAACCGGTGTCAAGAACACA